CCTCACACTTGCCAATCTAAGAAGTCATTGATATATTCCTATACTTCAAGAGGTTTATAGTTACTTCTTACACTTAGATCTATGATCTATTTTAACTGATTTTTTTATATAGTACAACTTAAGGGATCCGCCTTCATCCTTCGGCATGGAATTATTCAGTTGTGCCAAATATTATTTTTCCAGCTGCCTGTCCTGGTTCCTTGTTGGAGAACTCACATACATGTCCACGATGATGAGGGGGCAGGGTGTGTAGAAAAGAGGAAATGGTGACCACAAAACACAGCCAAGAATGGCTGGAGCAGAGTCCTTGGGAGTGGGGGTCAGGATCCACGGCCCAGGGGAGGGGTGGCCTCTGTCAAGAGCAAGGTCACTGTGGAGTCCTAGGAAGAAAGATAGCCCCACTGGCACACATACAGGAAGTGAGCATTCTTCTTCAATTACTTCCCTTTTCTCAGTGACACAGGAAGCAAGGTCACCATCAGAGGACAGAGGTCAAAAGCAGTTAGTGGGAAAGGAAATGGACTGGGGAAGTATGAGATAATTGCCCGGGACACTGCAGCCTGATGTGAGGAAAGAGGTTGAGTGAAGGTGAGGCCAGACCCTGTGGCAGGGGCATCTCTTCAGCCACATGCAGAGGACAGGTGATGGTGGTAGGTGACAGAGGTTCGGAGCTGCCATCCTGCAGAACTCTGTGGCCAGGTTCTCTGTGCTCGGCATAGGAGGACAGCTGATCTCTTCCAGGGTGTTTAAGTCTGTCCAGGGAGGATGTCTTCACTCATGTCGCAGGCACACTAGACTCTCCCAACAGGGGAACCTGTCCTGCCCTGAAATCTGGCTGGAAAGCAGGATCGGGGAAGCCACCAGCAAGCCCTTAAGTCTCCACACCCTACCTTGTCCTTCCAGCTCAGTCTTCTGTGACAGATTTATCTTCTCACCGCTCAGGAGGCTGGAAGTCCACCATCGTGGCCCTGGCCTGATTCGACTCTGCCACATCTCTTTTCTTACAAGGGCACTAATGTCTCGATGGGGCCCCCACCCTCATAGCCTCATCTCCCAAAGATCCCATCTCTGAATACCATCACCCTGGGATGAGGGCTTCCACACATGAACTGGGGCTGGAATGGGGACCCATTGTAGTTCATGGCCCCTCACCACCTGCTCTCAGTCTCTACCAGGGACCTCGGTGCTGGACTTCAGAACAAAGGAGGGACAGAAATTCCTCTTATAGGAAATGTTTTTTATCATGGAACTCCAGGGGCACAAAAAGAGAAGTCTTTTATATTTAGATTTTCTATTGTATATCTTGTAGATCCCTGATGCCCAGTATGGTAGCTACTGGCCATGTGTGGCTTGACGTGGCAGAGCTGAGATGTGCTGTTGGGTATAAAATATACACCTAGTTTCAAAGACTGCATGGGAAAAATACTGAAAATATGTATCTCAATAATCTTGTATATTGATTACCTGTGAAGGGATAGTATATCAGATATATTGGGTTGAAGTGTATCAGGAAATTAATTTCATCAATTTGTTCATTTTTAAAATGGAGTTACTACAAAATTTAACACTAGATCTGTAGCTCACGTTTCTGCCCTGTATTCCTTTCCTACCTTAGTCACTTTCTTGTCCCTGGAACAAAGTACCCGACACCTGCAAGTTAAAGGAAGCAAGGTTTTGTTTGGCTCACAATTTGTAGAGGTTTCGATTTATACTCAGCTGACTCCAAATTCGGGCAGCATGGCAGAGGGGACGGGGAAGGAGAGATGCTGTAGGCAAGGCAGGAGGAAGCAGAGAGCTGAGGGGCGGATAAACCCCTGCTGGCCACACCCCAGGGACCGCCTCTTCCGCCCAACCTACCTCCCACCAGGGGGAATCAGCTATAAGCCCATGTAGTTAATCACACTCCCAAACCTCCCCTACAAGTATATGAGGCTCTAGAGAGACATCTAGATAGAGGTGACAGGACCCTACATCCAGACGACTTCAGTTTGCTGCCCTCCAGCCTTGGTCAGTATTCATAGCTTATCACATGAACGTTTGGTGGTCTGGGTGTGCTTTGGAATTTACCAGATGGGGTCCCACCTTTAGGAGCCTCCTGTTCCTAGGGGGCTCCTGAGGAATTCCTAGGGGGCTCCTGAGGACACATTCCCCGGAGGCAGCTCCTGGGGCTTGGGGATCTACCGCCAGGTCTCCATGTATGTGACCTGGCTGTTGTTGTTTGGTTCATACGCACATAAATAACACCTTCTAAAATGCCACTGCTCCTCCCCCCGACACACGCTGGCCACATTTGGGGACTTGGGCCTCCCTATTCTGTTCTTCTGAGTTCCGCTTTCCTGGGACAGGAAGCCCATGAGATCCTGAGCACCATTTGCAATTTCTCTTTTTCCTTTTTTCTTTCTCGAAGCACACAAGTGTGAATTTTATATAAGGCAGACAATACATATAGGGCTTTCCACTGAATTTCATATGTGCAGTCCCACTTGTGATTTATTAAATTTGGCTATTAGTATCCTACTATAATGCCCACATATATAGTATAACTATTTCCCTGTTTTCAATTTTGGAATAATTTCCCCTTTTCCTCCTATTGTACACAGCAATGCTATCAATACTGCCCCACCATTCGAATTGTTTTATTGGAATGTTTTCCCTGAGGTAAAATTGTTTGGCTAGAAAGTCTGTACAATTTTATGGCTCCTGGGATTTTTTTTTTTTTTTTTTGTCTTCAAATCACTTTCCCAGAAGGCTGTCATTATGTGCCTGCCTCTCCTGTGTGTACAAATTCTTACCCTGCGTTCACATAGACCTGCCAAATTTGGGTTTGATCACTTGAATTTATTTTCACTAATTAATTAGTTTATAGCAGGTATCTCATAGATATTATACTTGTATAATTGCTAATAAGAACGAGTAAAATCCTCCTTTTAAAATCCAGAATTTTTTTTTTAAAATCCAGAAAAATAAAACAAGTTGCTACTACATCGATAGGAAAAAAAAAATACACTTTTCAGGTAGATATACTGTCGTATCACTGTAACTGCAGCACTTTAAGAAGCTGAGACAGCAGCCTGGGGATTTAGCTCAGCGGCATAAGTGCCTGCCTTGCAAGCAGGCAGTCGTGAGTTCGATCCCTGGTACCATAAAAAAGAAAAAGACCAAAAAAAAAAAAAAAAAAAAAAAAAAAAAAGCTGAGGCAGGAGGATCCAAAGTTCCAGCCCAGCCTGGACAATTTAGTCTCTACTCAAATTTAAAAATACAAAGGGGGTGAGAAAGAAGGTCCTGGGTTTAATCCCCAGTACTGGAGGGGGCATCTTCCAATTTCTCCCTTCTCCAGGACTTGGGGGTACCCATGTCTGACTCCAAGGCTGACTCTGTCCGGTCCCAGTTCGCGGTTGTCATAACGGCCCTGCTCCAGCTAATAAAGCCATCTATCTGGTTCTGGCAACCTGAAGCCACAGCGTGACAGCTCCTTCCCTGCAAGCTTCAGATGATGAGTCCTGGCTTTTCGTAAGTGCCAAATGTTGCTTGCTCGGGATCGAGACACATTCTGTTTTATAGGCAAAAAGGTTGCAGGAGACGCGGCTGATGTTCTGCGCATAGCTTATTAAAACCTCAGGAAGGCCTCTGCGCTTTCCTACAGGGAACCCATCAAGCAGTACCCTGCCCGAGCCGCCTTCCACTCGAGGGGGTGCCGGGGGCGCCGGTGACCAGGAGAGGGCGCTGTGAGCCCGACCGTGGGGTGAGGAGCGGGGTCACCTGCGTGACCACTAGATGGCGCCTTGCAATAACAAATGGGGCTGGCAGTCCTGCGAGGGGCCCTGCTCCCTGCTCCGCAGCCTGCACTCCGCAAGCCGAGCCAGACATGTCCAACACAGAAATATGGAAATGTTCATTCCAGCTAAAAATACACCATCTGCCTGTGAAAAACCACGCTCGGCGCTGTCATGTCAGTACCCCAGGCGGGTTAATAATCGGCCCTGGACAGATGGTTTCTTTTTATAATTACTGGGTCCCTCCCCAGGCTGCCTGCTCGCTCTGCCCCACAGGGCCACAGGAACACCCCCAACCTGCGATGTGAGGGCTCCCGGGCCCCTGATCACAGGGGACCGCGCCAGCAGCCCAGCTGACACCACTCGGATTAAAAACAAATAAACCAGGATCTCGGGGATCACCCACCAAATTAATAGCCCCACTATTCCATTCCCTGGGGAAAATACAGTGATCGGTGTGCACTCTGTATCTTGCTGGGAGAATGAATTACTGACATTACTTCTCTGGGAGAATTTCAACTGAATGTAGCAACCCGTTTTTAAAATACTACCAACTTTCTACCCTAGTGATTTCACTATGAGGACTCTTACCTGTCATTATTCAAAAACTATCAAAATCGGGTTGGAGATTTAGCTCAGTGGCATAAGCGCCTGCCTTGCAAGCATAGTCGTGAGTTCGATATCCGGTATCAAAAAACAAAACAAAACAGCTATCAAAATCTAAAACACTGCTGTGCATAGGGATGTATGCCTGTAGTCCTAGTATTTTGAGAGGATGAGGCAGGAGAATTGCAAGTTCAAGCCCAATTTAGCGATTTAGTGGTTATCCTGTCTCAAAATAAAAAAATTTAAAATTTAAAAAGGATTGTCTCGGGATATATTTCAGTGTAAAGGTCATGGAGGCAAACCTCAGTATTGTCAAAGGAAGGGAAAAAGAAAGAAAGAAGATTCAAAGTACAAAGAGAATAATACCAAAATGTTTACTGCAACACTATGATAGTAAAAATCTACATAAAGGAAAGCCCTGTGTGTTTCAACAGTTCAGTTCAGTGCTACACAGCCATTCCAGATGGGTACAGGGTGTGAGATAACACCCCAAATCCTAAGTATTAAAATATTAATTGATAAACGTGTGTAAAGAGGTCGAGTAAAAATGCAAATCTATTAGAAATATATACACATAGTATTTGAAGTTTTGCAGGAAATAGACATTGCATCACAGCTGTCTTCAGGATGGTGGATTTTGTAGATTTTATTTTATTATATGGCTCTGGGTTTCCCCAAATCTTCAGCAATACACACTAGCAGTAAAAGGGAAATGAAGAGTTTCCAAAGGCTATTTTAAAACAGAGTTAGGCCCGGGGTTTAGCTCAGCGGCATAAGCACCTGCCTGGCAAGTGCGAGGTTATGAGTTTGATCCCTGGTACAAAAACAAAACAAACAAACAAAAAACCCACAGCTAAAGGCATGGAGGAAACGGGTCCACCTCTGGAGGCAACAAAGGCTGGGCCACAACCCAACCCTTTCCCTGTTCCTTTAACCAGAGTTAGCAAGGGGGAAGCTTTCCCCACAGGCTGAGCTCTTGAGTATTTTTACATTTTGTAACAAGTGGTTATTACTTATTCGAAAATAAGCACAGTTCACAAATATGCAGAAATATAAAATCTAAAATGGCAGGAGCTGAGAAGAAATCCCGTTGTAGATCAGGATTTCAGCTCCTGGGACAGGGGGGTTCCAAGTTTGGAAGTCCCCTGCACTCTCAGCCAGGAGTCCCACCAGGGCCAGCTCTTCCCGGATGAGTCTTCAGCAGCTTCTCCGCTATATCAGAGGCTGCGCTGGCTGGGTGCTGGGCCCTCTCCGTCTCCTGGCTGGTGTGTGTCCCAGAGCAGTGCAGCCTGGCCGGGGCAGGGCCTTGGTGAACACTGGGTCTGAGACCTGAGTCGCCTGGGCCTGGCGGGCCAGGGGTACGAGTGGGTGGGGGCCAACTGCCTGACAAAGGGACCTCCATGACCCCTGATTCTTCCAAGAGGATGTGTGAGCAAAAGCAGAGGTTAGCATGCTGGTCAAGGTGCGGAAGGCTCACCTCACCTTAAAGCCTGGATCCAGAAGGCTCTACTCTGGTTTCCTTTTCATGTATCTGCAAAGCATTGTTTTGTCCTTAACACTAAAAAAGAGGACAACTGTAGAGCCTACTAAAGCTGTAACAAAAGGGGCTGGTGGTCGCGCCCTGATCTTAGATATTTGTAGTTCAAGAGACAATGTGAGGGTCTTATTCAGCAGAAAAAGCAGAGGTGACAACCCAACAGGAAGGGGCATGCCCAGTTTTCAGTCACAGAAAGTCCTTCCCAGCCCATCCTGTTCCTCATTAATTCAACTCCAGTGCAACCTCAGGAACCAGGTTGGTCAGCTCTGGGGGGGTGACTGTGCTAGGGCACAGGACCTGTGCAGCCTGAGCGCCATCCTCCCTGACTGGCCCTGGGGTACAGCTCAGGCTGGGGCTTGCCTTATACCTGTGGAGGGGGGCACTGAGCTCTCCCAGAGTTGGCCCTCAGAAGCGCCTCCCTGTGCATCCTGGGAGGCCTGAGCTGCAGCTCCAAATCCTGCCCATGCCCCACCCCAGGGCCTGGGGACAGAAAGGCTCTGCTGCCAGCCTGGGAGGGAAGGTCTCTGGGCCTGTCCTGGGGGAGCCTCCTTCCATCCTTTAAAGCCACAAGCCTGGTACCTTCCCAAGCCTTCAAATATCAGCTACTTTACACCAAACCCATGAAAATGACTTCAGAAAAGCTTATTGCGTCCTGATGACACAGTTGAGTCGCAGCTGTGAAGGTAGAGTACAGTCCTGGGGCAATCTTTAAGGGCGTCTTAAGTCACTTCTTGTTACTGAGACTCAGTACCCGGCAGCCATAACTGGAAGGAAGAAACGTTTATTTTGGCTCAGTTTTAGTCCATGGTTGCTGGTTCTAAAGGAGAAAAAGCACGGCAGAGGGGCATGGTGGAGGAAAAGCCGCTCACATCCTGGCAGCCGAGAAAGAGAGAAAAGAGGAGCCAGGGAGGGAGAGCCGGGCATAACTTTTCCAACAGGGACAGGAGATAAAGAGGCGAGAAAGAAAGGTTAAATTAAATCTGTGAGAGGCCTCTGGCCTGGACGGAGCTCAAGCACCAGACCCAGGCGGCCAAACCAAAGTGGTCTCATTGGTCCTCTTTTGGAGAAGTCGGGATGATAGGAGATAACAGCTTCCGGGTGTGGTGGTGCACCCCGTAATCAATCCCAGCACTGGGGGACTGAGGCAGGAGAATCACAGTGAGTTCAAGGCCAGCCTGAAGTACATAGTAAGACCCTGTCTCAAAAAATCAAGAGACAGACAGAGGGACAGAGAGAAACATCCCCAACAAGCCAGCTTGTGCTGGGGTGACAGTTTTCTCTCTTTAACCTCTACAAGGAAGGTCAGTTTGAAACTACACATTTTTGTTCTGTTTCTGATTTCTCTCAGCTTTCTCTATTTAGCTCTTCTGCTTGGCTTTTCCAAAAACTCACGCTATTTTATAGAAGCTGCTGCCTGATTCTATAATTGTGAATAAAATCCAAATAAGATCTCTCTGTGTCTGCCTCTGTCTTGAGACTGGGTTTCATTGTTTTCTAAGTTTGGTCTTGAATTCCTGGATTCAGGTGATCCTCCTGCCTCAGCCTTCCAAGTAGCTGGGACCAGAGACATATTCCCCTATGCCCAGCTCACTTAAGATCTTTAAATATGTTGTAATTTTATACTTGACACAAGTAAACTATGAGCTGTGGTTTGTCTTCTGAGGCAACAGCGCTGGTTTTAGATAGACGTGGCAGGCACTGGACACGGTGATACTTTACAATCCCTGCACGTGGGAGGCTGAAGCAGGATTGGCTGAGTTCAAGGCCATCCTACGCTGCACAGTGAACAGTGGGCTTTGAGATGAAGCTGGGCACTGTGGTGCAATCCTGTAGTCCCACCAACACAGGGCAATCGCCTAAGCCCAGGAGTTTGAGGTCAACCTGGGCAATGTGTGCAAGACCGTATCTAGAGGGAAGAAATATTTGAAGTGATATTTAACCTAAGTTGAGAGAACACAAAAAGAGTCAGAATAACAGTAATAAAAGAACTCCCATGACTTCTGAGAGGAGAAGGAGGGCCAGGCCTGCAGCCAGTGGGAGGAGGCATCCAGTGTGTGCAGTTTTTATGGCTCAACCTTCAAGTCACTGGCAGAGCAGGGTACACTCGGGAGGGAACAGGGCTCTGGAAAGGGCCAGCTCTGAAACCCTGTAAACCGGGTGCCTCGGGGTCCAGTCCTGTGACAGAGGCCCAGCAGAGAAGCCAGCCTCACAAAGTGAGGGGGCCTAGAAATGTGTACTGTGAGACAGTGGTGCAAACTGACTTCTCCAGGCTCCTGTGCGATTCAGAGGATTTGGAGAGTGACCACAGGGCCTGCATGGGGCTGCCTTTGCTTATGCAGCTCCCCAGGCTGCCGGGCAACATGAATGCAAATAGCACAAAACACACCTTCCCTGGAAACAGTCGCTGGGCCACGACCCAGTCCTGCTCTGGCCTCTGCAGCAGCACGTTTGGCTCCGGTGCAAAGTGACACTTGGATGACGGGTGCCTTTCTCAACGCCCAGCAGCCCTGTGACAATCACCCTGTGACTTCCCCAGGGTAGCAGCCTAGTTGTCATAGCGAATTTCGGCTCGCAGCTCCTGGGTGACATAGTTCACCAGCATGGCCAGCAGCTGCTCCTTCAGGACCTCGCTGCCCATGACCAGCGTGGTCAGCTGCACAGCATCTGTCCAATCCAAGTTCCGAACGATGGCCATAGCTTCATTAAACAGCTTCTGCTGCTCGGAGGGGGGCAGCTCCATTAGTATCTGAGGAACTGGCTTAAATTGTCCACTCGTCATCCAGGCACCAAGGAGACCCCCAACAGCCCCCCCTAGAAAACAAGGAACAGTTCAATTAGTGAGGCCTCCCTCTACACACTGGCCTCGGGCTCTCGCTGAGCGCATGTCCACCTTGATGACAAATGGGGACATTGATGAACAGGTCAGAATGAGCTTGGCTTCCCCCCTCATCCACCAGGCAGCACGGAGGGCAAAGGTTTATGTGGTCTTCTGTCCCTGTGCTCAGATAATTGAACCTGAACACGCCTTCCCTAAGCTTCCCACTAAGAGGCAAAATGAAGCGGGTGACCCCCCCCCACCAGGACTACGCCAGTGGAACCCCCCCTGGCTAAAGGGCCCTGGGAACAGAACAGAAAGTTCTTTACTCTTAAAGCAACATTTTCACAAGCCTCTCCAGTGCTTTGGATATATAGCAAATTTAATACAGATTACCATTTCTCTCTGTGCTGCCTAGCAATAGCACAAACCTTTTTTATTTTATTTTATTTTATTTTTTTGTCTTTTTCCTTTTTATCGGTACCAGGGATCGAACTCACGACTGCCTGCTTTCAAGGCAGGCGCTTATGCCGCTGAGCTAAACCCCCAGCCCCCGCACAAACCTTTTTTAAAAATTGAAATGCACTGCCTAAGTTAAGGCATACTCTTCTGGGTCCTGAATATACCTTATCATGGAAAATTCCACCTACCCAGGCCACACCCAGGATGGCACAAGGCGAGGGACAGTGTCTCGGGGGAGGGTCTCAAGCTCCAGTACCTTCAGGGGCCAGTGGGGTGAGCAAAAGGAGTGAAATGGCCAGAGCAGTCCTGTGACAACCTGGGGTGCAGGGTCCCCGTCTCCAGCTGTGACCCTTTGCCGTGTATCTTTAAAATGTCTCCCAATTTTTAAATATCAGTAATCAGATATTTAAAGATGCAGCCTGGGTGGACCTAGTGACTCACTCCTACAGAACAGGAAACAGAAACTCCACAGTGGAAAAATCCAGCACACACGACCTTGACTGAGTGATCAAGGTCAACATCTCTAGTGATGTCATGTGGCTGTCTTGTCTTCCTGGGCCAAGGAGAGGAGGACATTTCACCTCCAATATATTCTTTCCAAAACCCATAACCCCAGGCTGACCACAGGAAACATATCTGATTAACCCAAATTGAGAGCTATTCTATAAAATATCTGCTCAGTAGCCGTCCAAAAGATCAAGGTCACAAAAAACCTCTTGGTCTGAAAAACTGTCATGGACCAGAAGAGACCAGAGAAACAGGGCAATTCAGTGCAATGCCACAAAACAAGAGCATTTGTGTAAGCACTGGAGAGGGCTAAAGCAAGGCCGGGGTACAGTGAACAGTGATGTGTCAGCGTTGGCTTTCAGCTTTGACAGTACGCTGTGGTCCATGTCAGCACTGGGGAAAACAAAGCGGGGTGAAGGATAGGGCCGTTATCCTCTACACAACCTCTGCAACTTCTCTGTAAATCTATTATTACCGCAAAATGAAGAGTTTGCTTTAGGCCCAAGGTGCAGCCCGGTGAGCCTAGTTATCCCTGCAAACCTGGCACTGTGAACCCAGCCTGCACCAGGGTGCCCTCTGTGCCCTGCCTGGCCCGCTCTGCTCACGGTGCATAAGTTGACAAAGAAACACGAAGGAGACCGACAGACAAGGGCACTGAAGCAGCGGGAATCAGCACAGGAAGCCCTGGGTGGTACTGTTTACTGAGGTCCGCCAGAAGCTGAGATGAAAGTGAAAAAGCAAGATGAGTCGGTGCTTTGCAAAGTGTGAAAGCTGCCAGTGAGCTCCACTCCCCTCTATCAGGGGGAAAGCCTTGCAGAAAATCCAGGGCTCGTCTGCAAATCCTGCTATAAAGACGGGTGGCCAACAAACATGCGGCTGATACCCTTCAGAGCTAGAGGAACTCGTGAGTGAAGCAGTGTATGAGAAACATAAAAATCTGGGCCGGGGATTTAGCTCAATGGAAAAACGCCTGCCTGGTAGGTGCAAGGTCATGAGTTTGATCCCTGGTACCAAAAGAAAAAGAAGTCAATCGAGGGGTGAAAGCAGCACCCCTACATCACAAGTATGAAATAAATAACTCACTGCAGCAGCATTGTTTTAAATCAGTGGTGGACAAAAGATTTAAGACAAACTGTTAGAAATACAGATGGGAAAGAAACTACTCCCAATACAGCTACTGGAAGAAAATACCCCTCCACTTCCTAGTGACTGCAAATAAACACGATATGTATCTTTTTGAGTCTTAGACTAGGCTGCAAGGTTTTTGTTTTTTGAGGTAGGATCTTGCTATACAGTTCAAGAAGGCCTTGAAGTCCCTGGGTAGTCCAGGCTGGGCTTGCGGCAATCCTCCTGCCTCATCCTCCAAAGTGCTGAAATTTCAGGTGTGCCTGGCTTAGGATGTAGGTTCTGATATTCTTCAGGAAATGACCCATCACAAAAAATAGTTATTAAAAAACCATGTAAAGGAGAAGTGTTCTCATAAGTCGTTTGTAATATTATGACTTGCTTATCCTTCTCTGGGTTTTGGTCAAAATACTTCAGTGACCTTCCCCTTGGAAATACAGGGAGGACAGAAAAGCTTGTGCTAGCTGCCCACTGTCAGATGAAGAACAATGCCGTAATAATTTTACAATGTTCTCCATTTGCCAGTGCTGCTTTTATACAGAGAAGCAACAGCTTTGCAGCACAAGAGACAAAATATTCAACTCCAGAAAGAAAGAAAGAAAGAAAGAAAGAAAGAAAGAAAAGAAAAGAGAAAAGGATGGTTTTACAAAAAGCAACCTGGGCCAAAGAGAAGCCACCCTGGTGCAGATACTGCTGCCTTTGGTCCAGGCCCAGGCCCAGCCTGTGTCGTCCCGGAAGGAGGGGAACATGCCAGAGTGGGGAAGCCAGCTAATTTACAACTTTTACTGAATTTTTCCCCATGACACCAGTGAAATGCATAGAGCCGACAAGAGTTGTACTCCTCTGCACTAAACCTTTATGAGAACATCAATATTTGATTTAGAGCAGCACTTAATGCAAAAAGTCGCCAGGAATATCAACCAGCAAATGACTAGCTCTTCAGCGAAGAGAAAATTCCTTTGTTTTCTGGGTAAAATGATGCTCTCATCCATGACCCAGGCCTGGAAGCACCAAGTCTCCCGGGTTCTCCTGCAGACAGCCTGCTCTCTGCCAGCTTTGCTCAATCTGAATAAAATATGTGCTCTCCGAAGGCAGCTGGGCACAGTGCCTTACGATGATCCCAGGAAGGTGCCCCAGGAGCACTCAGCTGGGGTGCAGACGAGGAACAAGGAAATAGCTTTATCTGCTCCCTCACTGCTTCCCTCCTGGATGGGAAGGGGCTGAAGTTAGGACTTGAGAATTCTCCAAATTTGCAAAGGCAAATATACCCTGGGCAGGTCCAGGGCCATCTCCACACTTGTTTTTCTCCCCGTGTGGCTTTGGTTTTATGAAATGTCCTTGGATGTCAATCTTGCTATTGAAGGGAAGAGCAGAAAGCCTTCCTCGCCCACTGGTTGAGATTCAGAAGTCAACCTGGGCATAAAAGGGATTCTCTCTCCAGCCCATGTTCACAAGGAGACTGCGACCCAGAAAGGAAGAGTTTTACCACCCTGCAAGCAGGCATTAGGCAAACATCTCCTGAGCCCAGCGTGGCAGAGGCCCAGCCATCATGGCGCCACCAGTTGAACTGTGCTGCAAGGCCACCAGAGGGCGCCTCATCTCAGGGCCCTGGATGAGGCGGGGTCTTCTGACTCCACCCTAGCCTATAGTTTGGCCCACCGCACTGAGCCACACAGCAATTCCAAGGCTGGGGACAAGGGAATTCTTTCTGTTCCTAATCCAGGGAGAGGAACTTCATCTTAGCTGCCGGAACTGCAGAAATGTTAGACCACACTTTCATTCACCACTAGAAACTGCTTCCTAAATTGAAGCAGGTGGTGAATGAGAGGTGGAGACTCCACCAACAGTTCCCTTGCTGGTCTGCTCCTCTGGCTGCAGGGCACGCTGCGCTCTCCTACTCACCCTGAAACACGGAAGGGAAGCATCTCTCCCTCGCTCTGCACACACTGCCTGGGAGAGGGGACACTGGCCGGGGGCTGCCGCACAGCATCTGCTCAGAGTAGGGGCTCAGTAACCGCGGCATCCCCACCAGTTCCCAGCTGAACACAACAGTGACATGGATGGGTACCTGATGGTCACGGGGATCCGAAGGTCACAGGCACCTATCTTTAGCCTCCAGGATGCATCCTGGAGAACAGTGACGTCAGTGCCACTGGGATCCTCCACCCTGGGAAAGGCGTCCTCTAGTATCAGAGAGACACAGAAGTCATAGCAAAGAGCGCTGTGCCCTTCTGAGACATTCACAAAGACGCTCATGTCCTTCCCACTGTTTACTCTTTTTCAGTCCTGAGGACTGAACCCGAGGAGGACCACCTGCATGACTCACTGTGAACAGAGAGCAGTTATCTCCATTTTCGCTAAACCTGGTTCTGTCTCCATGTGCTGACATGTACAGGGCTGGCCAGGCCGTTTCTGTATCCCTTCAGCGGGCTCTGAGCAATGTAATGAGGGCTGGCTGAGATGCTGATGAGTAATCTATGAAGGGAGATTGTTTCAGTCGCTGTTTCCTGCCCCATCCTCACAAAACACATGGTCGAGCCACTGTGCCACAAGTAGGATGAGCCTCAAAATAAGAGGCTATGACTTCCCAGGGCAGAAAAGTTTGCACATCAGAACTGAGGCAGTGACCCCCAAAACACTAGGTGCTGCTCAACTGTGTTACGCACTTCGCCCTTTCTATACGTCCTTCTCTCTGCATACTCCAGAGGTGATCTCAGGCCCCATCTCACCCACTGGTAGCACCCAGTCATGTACTTCCGGGCTTTCTCACAGTCACTCAACCTCAAGCCACTCCCTTCTGAGGTAATGAAATCCCAGTTGGGCCCCAGGTTGAGGCTGTTGTTCATAAACCACTATCCTGGCTGGACTTAGGGCCCCCTTGGCTCTCTGTAACTATAAATATGTCTTAGCGTCTTTATTCTCACTGTGGGTTGCACTGGAAGTGGTAGTCTGGAATTAACTCACTAGAATTCCAATAACTTTTCCATGAGATTACAAATATAAACTTCCTGGACTGAGACAAGGCCCGGGAAGAGCTCTCTATAGAACCCAGGGCCTTCCCCTGAGCTATATTCCAGTTCTTGTTTTATTTTTCATTTTGAGAAAACAAAGTCTTACTAAGACACTAGGTTGCCCAAGCTGGGATCAAACTTGAGACTCTCCTGCCTCAGTCTCCCAGAGTACCAGGATTATAGCTGTATACCACCATGATAACACAACAGAGTAGACACACAAAGGTCAGGCCACAGATGCAGCCTTCATTCCACAAACCCCGTGCACAGGCATCACTCTGACAAGGCAGTCCTCTCTATAACGTCAAAGATCCTCTTCTGATACCACCAAGGCTGGCACTCCCAGGGAGACACCACACTTACCAACAGCCAGTCCTGGCGGGCCACCGACCAAACCTCCAACAAAGGCCACAGCACCTGTGACCAGAGCACCCTTCCCAGAGTGCTTGACGGCCGCCTTCATTTTCCTCTCCTGGGAAATGGTGCAGAGCAGCTTCATGATGCTGTTCATCATGATGGGCATCTTGGCAGACCTTAAAGGACAATTCACAGCTCTCATGAGGGCAGGGAAATTTCCACTTAAACATTACTCTTCTGGGAGCTCTCAGGAAGGGTTATCGTTTTCAAGAAAAGACAACAGCTTGGCTTTGTGCATAAGAGACCACGTCCACTTGTGTGGAAAGTTCTCTGAAGGGGCCAGCTATTGGCTACTGAGCAAGCAAGGCACAGAGTGGACCAACATTCTCAGCCACTGATGAACTTGTGATTAGTGACAGACCAAAAGCAACCCCAGCCACATGCTCTACCGCTATCCCAGGGGAGACAAAGCCGACCCAAGGTGTCAGCGGCCATTCAGTTGGCTCAGGAAGTCCTCAAACACTGAAAGTCCCAGCTGGGCCCTGCTTTATAGGACTGGACGTCTAGGCTAACCCCAAGCCAGAGAAAACGGAACTCTGGGACCACACTAGCATTTGCCTGCTTTGTGACCCACTGTGTCACAGACCTATGTTTCAGATGGAGATAAACCAGCTGCAGGCTGTACCCGGTGCAGGTAGGGTACATGCAAAGTGACTAGAGTCTGGGACAGTGCAGACTGTGTCAGGACTTCCTGAAGCAACTAGTCTTAAAGAGTCATGTGGGTCTACACATGAGACAGTAAAAGAAAGGCCAAAAGCACAAATGTGTAAGATGAGCAAGCTCAAATGGCTGTGGTGGTGTTTGCCTATAATCCCAGCACTTGGGAGACTGAGGCAGGAGGACTGCTGTGGACTACACAGTAAGTTCAAGGCGGGCCTGAACTATATAGCAAGACTCTGCCTCCAAAAACCAGAAAGGGGGGGGCGGAGCACGAGCAAGCTGACAATAAAGAATTTCAGGAGTCTGCAGCATAGCTGCAAAGATGGGCTTTTCCTTTCACTTTTATTTTCATAAAGAACACTGGGTACTGGGGACAGAACCTAATACTTCACACTGAACTGTATCCCCAGCCTGTTTTATTTTGAGACAGGCTCTTGCTAAGCCGCTCAATTGTCTGGGCTGAGCTCAAACTCACAAAGTTTTTACCTCAGCTCCCAGAGTGCTGGGATCACACGGCTGGTAAATGGATCGTGAGAACAATAAACTTGTGGGAAATGAGGTAATACAGAAGAAATAAAGATAGGTAGAAAGGAGATAAGGAAAAGCAGAACTAAAAACTAGAAGACTATAACCCCAGGGCAGTCAGAGTCACCCATGGTTATCTTCTAAAGATCATTTTTTTTTAGTTTGTTTGTGCTTCTTTTGGACCCGTCATACCCAATCACCCTTAAAGACACTTTAAATTCATACAATAGCTTAGCTGATATAATAAAGTGCAGAAACCTGATCATAAGATAAAGGAAGAGATTGCAAGAATTTGAAGAATGGTTTTAAACAAACCATCTTGTTTATCCATCAAAAAAAAAAAAAAAAGATGGTGCTCATGCCTTTCACCTGTAAAATGGGCCACTATCTTTTCCACCATCGAAAATACACAAATATTCCTAGCTCCCAACTATAGCTCCTCTCTCTTGAGGGCCTGCACTCTATTTCTTTGAGTGTGTACTATTATTAAAAGTCTGCCTAATAAATCACTGTATGCCTCTTTAGAAAAAACAACCTTTAGCATAATTATCTGGGGTCAGGAAACTCCCAGGCTGGCTGGGAGAGACCAGTAGAGGCGTGACCAAGGGCAGGCTGGGCCACCCAAGCGAGGGTAGGAAAGGAAAACCCACAGCTGACAGGGCCCTGGGGGGCTGGGAAGGAAAATCTACGCAGCAGAGCTTCTCAGAGCTTCCACTGGGCCTATGACTCATTCTCAGCACACTTCCCTTTTCCTTACGATGGACAGAAGCTGCTGAGAAAGGACTGTGATTAAGGAAGTTTGGGGCACAGTCTACTGCTCAGTGGCTTTTGGTTTTATAATTTTTGGATCCAAGAATAGGCTAGAACTACAAGTCTCTAACATAAAATCGTCCTTTTTCAATTCAGTGAGTGAGAAAATTTTGAGCCCTTAGAGCAAACATCGCAGATCCACACCTCCTGCCAAAGAGGTAGCCTTCTAATCTACTCTGAACCCCAGGAGTGGGCAATGTGCTCCAGCCCCACAAATCCCCCTTGCTTTTTCCTTGTGATACACTTTAGGCAGATGACTCCCTCAACAATAAGAAGGATGCATTTAAGATCTTGTTAATCAGCCAGGATGGCAGGACAAGATTCTGCATTTCTGAGCTTACTTTGTTTGGGAAGCAAGATTCCGAGAGCAGAACCTAGGATGCTCGGTGTCCCTGTCTGTGAACTCAGAGGTAGGCAACAAGTGTCCCCCAGAAATGTGGGCTCAGAGAGGAGGGAGAGCTCAGGAATGCCTGTCCCTGGGCCTGCTCTGACTGCCTTGTGGTCTGAGTGTGCCAACACCTCCTGTCTTCCAGGGTGCCTGTGTCTAAACAGACTGGCCCCCCACCCCCATGAGGGCCTCTCTCCCTGCTTCTAGTGATCAGGAGTTGTCTGCACACCAGTCATGACAATAAATTCACACTGTTATAGGGAAGGCACTAAACATAGCAGAAGCGACTGGGCATGGTGGCACACTTGGGAAGCTGAAGCAGGAGGACTGCATGAATTTGAGGTCAGCCTGGGCTATCCAGTGAGTTCAAGGTCAGCCTACACTACAGAGCAAGACCCTGTCACAAGAACAAAATAAAACACCACAAAATCAAAGACAGAAAACATGGCAGAAACCGCCCAAAAACAGGGAGATGCAGGGCATGACCTGACTTACTCAGTGGCCATGGTCCTGAAAAGCAAGGGAACAAGCAAAAGGAGGTTTATTTCATGTGCTCATTAAGATCACCGAAGGAACTCATTTTTTGGTAAAGCCTTTCAAAAAGCTAAAATCCTATTGTAAAATATCAACCACCTTCTAGCTTAGCTCAGGTTTAGACTCAGATTTTAATGTCAATTGTGCAAGAAACAGGTCTCAGGAAGGACCCCCTGAAGACTATCGGGGATCCCACTGACTGGAGGACTGAGGACCCTGCATCCTGCCATCCTTGGTCCACAAGTCTCAGCCTTCTGAATGCCAGGATCATGGGCATGTGCCACCACACCCAGCCACACCGTGCTCCTTTAAGGAAATATTAGACAAGATATGCAAGGACCCAGCACTGTAAAATCAATGAGATAGAGAGCTCTGAGTTTCCACTCATGGGCAACGCTGGGGGAATTTACACAACTTCAGGTGCACTCTGACTTTGGCAAACCTTATCTCTCCTTATTCGCAAGGCCACAGTGCAAAGGTCACAGGTGGGTGTCACCACCTGTGGCAGGTGAGCCTGTGGGTTTCTTTTTTAATTAATTGCCGCTTCTTAAACATAAGACTTTCACACACCTTTCAGATTCCTGATTTCTCTTAGAAACTCAGGCCACATCAGATCCCCCTTCTGGAGTGGTGACAAGTACAGGCTGACAAGGGACCAGCATCCACCGAAAGACACTGTTGGCACACACCTTCAGCAGGGCACTGCCCGCTCTGCCACAGCCCCTGGTGTTGGGGTGCAGCTTCTCTCTCTCCTGCTGCTTCTCAAAAAAGCTACGGACGCTCATCATCCCCACAAAACTGCTCTAGTCTTGGAAAATACTGTCACCCTTTCTTGAATCATCTCCAAAGGAGCAAGCGAGCGCCCGGCTCCTCTTTCCAGAGGGCAAGGCCCTGAGTCACTGGCCTGAGGAGACAGCCTGCGCAGCCACCCTGCCGGGCTCAGACCTGCAGAGTGACAAGCCCCGCCTCCACGCCCACCCCCTCCCGTTCACGCGCAGGGGCTCTGTGCTTCCGGCGTGACCCCGTGCCTCAGTTTCCCCACATGGAAAATGCATGCGCGAACAGCTTCCGCCCCGGCGCAGTGAGGGTCAGGCCCGAGCCGTGTGCTGGCTGTGCCTCCCCATTCTGCCCGCCGCCCAGGCGCACCTTTACCTCCGGCAGGGCGGCCGCTCTGCCTGCCTGCGCCTGCGTCTGCGTTCCGAGCCCGGGGCCCGCCCAACCCTGCCGCAGCGCCGGCCCCACCCGGCCCAAATCCCGCCCCGCACAGAGGAGGCCCACAGCTCCCGGCTCCCGCGGCCACGGCCGCCCCGCGCGCAGGCCCCGCCCCCCCGCCTTCCGGCTCCGGGGGCCTTCCGGGTCGCCGCGGTCCCTCCGCCCCTCTCCCCGCCCCGTTAGTCCCACCGCCTGACCCCCAGATCTGCGAGAGGACGACCGAATAGGGCGGGGATCTGGATAGAGTCCCTAAGGACCTTCCCACGTCTGGCCCTTTCTGGCACCTGGAGCTCCTTTTAGATGTGGCTCCCTTGAGTCACCCAGGAGACCCTTGTCCCCTTTGGCCTGGGCACAGGATCTCAGGCCCCTAGGCCTCTCCCTGCAGCCTGAGTGAGGATGAGAGCCCAGGGGCATGACTGTGCTAAATTACTCTCTGATGGATGAATTCATTAGGCAACAGTCAGACAGTTTCTTTGAAAAGAACAGTGTGAGGTGGCTGGTGCCTGTAATCTCATCATTCTGGGAGGCTGAGTCAGGGGACTGTCCAGCCCAGCCTGGGCAACTTAGTGACTTAGCAACATCGTGTCTCAAAAAATAAAATAAAAACGGGCTAGGGATGTAGCTCAGTGTGAAGGCCTGGGTTCAATTCTAGATTCTGAGGGGGAAAGGGGGTGAGCAGTGCAGGCTCTGTTTTCCTAGGGCTCCAGAGGCAGACAGTGCCCACGTCCAGGGTGAGGCTGAGTTGGGGAGCCTCTTGGTAGGTAGAAAGGAGGACTGTAACAGGAGGAAGCAGGAG